TGTCCAGAATGAAAATTAAACCAGCAAACACAGCCAATATTGCTAAGGTTGCTGCCTTTAGCCCACAAATGATACATAATTGATTATGTTTTCTCCTATTTAAACTGTGTTTCCTTTGCATTGAAACGGATGGGGTGGAATAACATAATGGCAACATAATCTATGCCATTAAGGGATGCAGGTCGCGCTGTGGTCTAAACCACAGAGCCTAGGACTTGCTGATCAGAAGGTCAGCGGTTCGAATCCCCGCGACGGGGTGAGCCCCCTTTGCTTGGTCCCTGCTCCTGCCAACCTAGCAGTTCGAAAGCACGTCAAAATGCAAGTAGATAAATAGATACTGAAGAGACCCTGTCCCTTCAATACTGCTCCAGCGGGAAGGTAAACGGCGTTTCTGTGCGCTGCTCTGGTTCACCAGAAGCGGCTTAGTCATGCTGGCCACATGACCCGGAAGCTGTACGCTGGCTCCCTCGGCCAATAAAGTGAGATGAGCGCCACAACTCCAGAGTCGGCCATGACTGGACCTAATGGTCAGGGGTCCCTTTACCTTTTAATCTATGTCATTAATTAACTAAATTACAGAAGTTTTGCCATAGCAAACAGCATGACAAATAATATGGATTTTGGAGGGAAATGAACTGCAGTGGAATGGAAACAGTGCTGCATGTAAAAAAACAAAGGGTGGAATGGAAAATGATGCCTTCTTACATTCCTACCTAGAAGTATAGGATATATTGCACCTTGTTCACAAAATCTCTCACTGATGTGATTGAGATGCTTTTCAGATTGGCAAGTGGACTAAAGACTGAAAAAAGGGGCATCCTGAATTACCTTGCGGAACAGCAACTCTCATCAGGCTTAAAAGTTATCTAAAACTGAGAACATTGCAGTACTTTAGTGACATATACAAAGTATGTAAAAATGGACAATCAACTTCACCACTAGATGTGGGAACTAAAGAATATGACCTAATTTTGCAAGGGCTATGATTGAGCATCCTTCAACTGTCCAACGGAACATATGCAGTTGTCTTATGCCAAGTCAGGCCATTGGTCCACCCAGATATACCACTGAGCTACAGCCCTTCTTGTTATGGACCTTGCAAGAGAAAGACATCTACTCAGCAGAAGGCAGCAATGCCATGTTAACACTGCGAAAGTCACTTCCCATTGAATTAAAATAAATGGGGATAGCTTTGCTGCGGGTGGGGGAAGGAGAAAATTTATCTTTTGTAGGACAAATATGCTCCAACAGATTAGTGCACAGCCTCCAATGGCACAGAAGAACGTAATATTAAAGTGGGGGGGAGAGACAACTGGCAACTGGTGGGGGATTAAAAAATGATAGGGGTAAAGGGGGGGTGTGTGACATGCCTGACAGTGATGACACTCAGCCACACTGACAGAAGTAGGAAGCCAAGGACTGCCATTTACCAGCAAGCTGGGTTAGTGACTTGAATGGTAATAAAACACTGATTCTCCATGCAATAGGAGCACGTGATGGGCTGGCTTTGTCTGGGTGACAGCTGCAAACAACTCCACAAACCCCAGGAAAACCACAGTATACATAAATGCCTGATGACTAATTTCAGCGTTCTCACTGGAAAAAAGCAGCAACACAACACTAAATGTGAAGAACCCTAATGTGGAACAGTACAAACAACTTTGTCCCTTCTACCCAGCCCCACCTGCTTCCCTCCCCAGGAGGAGACAGGAACCAGAGAAGGAAAAGTATCATCCTGTCAAGTCCTCATCAGGATGGGAGCCATATTGAAGAACTATATAACTGAAATGGACCTCAAGATTTCCTGAGTTAAAAAACACACACCGTAGGCCGGGGCCAGGAAGAGGGCAAAGCACTATTTCCAGCTGGCTCACACTTCTCACTCCCGCTTCCACTTTCAGAAGTAGAAACAGAAGGATGCCCAAGTCCCCAGAAACACCTTCCGCTCTGGGTTCCTCTACAGTTTGCTTCAAGCACACAAATGACAGCTGGAAATTATATGGAAGGGCCACTGTACAGTTTACTTCCATTTCTGGCGCATGTCACCAAACTCCTGCCGTACACTGGCTTCAGTCAACTTAACAGGGTGAAGTTTCTGCACGATACCTATAACAACAGGTAATAATTCCCTTAGGTTCTGCATCTGGGAAAAGCCATGTCTTATAATGGGTTTATTTGCTGTTCACCCATGTATTTTAGCATTGCAGGAGCAAAAGCAAAGCAGATACCAAGTTATATTGGTTTTAGCTATCATGACATCCTGCAGAGAATCCTCATAGCTGTAGTTTGGTGCGGGTGCAGATCTCTGTTAGAGATCCCAAACAAGGCAGAATTTGCTGATGAAACAAATGACAGTTAAACCAATTCAGTTCTGTTGCGCAGTAAAGGTAAAGGTACCCCTGACCGTACGGCCCAGTCGTGACCGACTCTAGGGTTGCGCGCTCATCTCGCTTAAGAGGCCGGGAGCCGTCGCCGTCCGAAGACACTTCCGGGTCACATGGCCAGTGTGACGAAGCTGCAACTGGCGAGCCAGCACCAGTGCCGCACACGGAAACGCCGTTTACTTTCCCGCTATAAAGCGGTACCTATTTATCTACTTGCACTTAGGGGTGCTTTCGAACTGCTAGGTGGGCAGGAGCTGGGACCGAACGACGGGAGCTCACCCTGCCGCGGGGATTCGAACTGTGACCTTACGATCAGCAAGTCCTAGGCACTGAGGTTTTACCCACAGCGCCACCCACGTCCGCTTCTGTTGCGCAGACATCACCCCTTTCCCAGTCCATTCTACCGTCTACATATGTATGATTATTTTTTATAAAAGAAAAAGATGGATATAAGCATGTGTTGTTTCCCAAAGAGAGCCAAGAACATCTGCAACTTGGGCTTAAAAAGATGTAATCATCACACATGTTTGGATTTAGTGCAGGCTACAACTAACACAAAAATTATGCAAAAAAGGAAGAAAGACACAGAGGGTTGTATCCAATTCTAGCCCTACTATTGAAATTAATGGACATACCTAACTTAGTTTCATTAATTTCAGTAGGCCTACTCTGAGAATAACTGAGATAGCTACAACCTTGAATATTCAAAAACTAAAAAAAGCAAAACACATACTGTATTTTTTGCTCTATAAGACTCACTTTTTCCCTCCTAAAAAGTAAGGGGAAATGTGTGTGCGTCTTATGGAGTGAATGCAGGCTGCGCAGCTATCCCAGAAGCCAGAACAGCAAGAGGGATTTCTGCTTTCACTGCGCAGCGATCCCTCTTGCTGTTCTGGCTTCTGATATTCAGAATATTTTTTTTTTCTTGTTTTCCTCCTCCAAAAACTAGGTGCGTCTTGTGGTCTGGTGTGTCTTATAGACCGAAAAATACGGTACTGATTTCAAGCTACAGTTACCTGCTAGTCTTATTTTAACATTCTTGTAGTTTGGTGGGGGGTGGGGGAGGCAGGTCTGTGACCCTCCAGATATTGCTCCAGATCTCCCACGGATCTCAAACCCTTGGTAAATTAAGAACTTTCCCTGCATGTGAAAACAGGCTCTGGTAAATTGAGCAGACAAGACCAACATTGTGCCCAATGGTAAAGAAGGTGGTTACTGCATGTGCTATAGAGGAAAGTTAGGGGCAGATGGGGCCTATCAACCTGGGAAGGTAGCCCATCTGGAAGAAACACTTTGATTCTAAATGTCCGCTGCCTTGAGGGATTATCTTCAGGAGAAGAGAAGGCTAAGGAGTAAACCCTACACAAATCCAGAGTGGAGTCCCTAAGATGGACCTTGTACACAACCTTCCAGCAACTCCTGCAGTCCAGCTGGTGTCAAATGTATTGCTGTACTTTCCTCTGGACCACATGAGAGATGCCAAGAAGTGGGTATTGTTGTCTGGGCAGCCTGGGACCTCCACACACACTGCCTAGGCTTGCACTCCAAGAAGGTCACTTCGGTGCTGTTAAGGCAGCATTTTGATTTCACCCCTGTAAATGTACTCCATTGTCTCTTGAGACTGATGAATGCCATCATCTCTAAACATTAAGCCATGCTGGCTGGGGACGATGGGAGTTGGAGTCCAGCAGTATCTGGAGGGCAACAGATTGTCCACCACTGATTTAATGTTACCACTATATTAGGAACTGTGTATAGAAATATGATATGAATGAGGAGCACTAGTTGCACCTTTATTTATTTATTGCTCCAATTGCTAGGTTGTTGTTTTTTACTGGATACTTCTGCCACTGTTTGATATTATTCATATACATTTCTGCTTTTATTCTTTTTACATCTGCTGTCTGTTTTTACAAGCATTTTACTGCTTTTTACTATAGTTTTATTTTGATTGAATACTTTCAGGTCATTAGCTGTTTTCAATTTTTTATGTGAAAGGCATATTTTAAAGTAAAATTAGCTTTTGCAAATAAAGGCAAGAGCTGTAGTAAAACACACACACACACACACACACACACACGGGGAAAGAGTTGCTTGACCGTCCTTAGCACTCATCAACATGACAAATTTTTGTCCTGCAAATGGAATTACTCTCATAAAGTGCACATCAGCATGATGTGATGCTAAATTTGTCTTTGGAAGACAGATACTGCAAGAGAAACTCCCAAGTGACAATTTCCCCTCACATACTTTTGGTTAATTTTCCTGTCAGTAAGCAATTTTTAAAAAAATAAATAAATCTCCAAACTTCTTGCTTTCATTGCCAGGATCTGAGAGTTTGATTTTTAATTTTGCTTGGGAAGAGGCCCAGATAACTCTAGTCCCTGAAAAGCCTTGATTTTCCCAGTCGGGTTTCATAATTGGCTCAAGCCCCAACAGCTGAATCTGGCACATAAAAGGACCTGTAAAACTAATCCTACTAACACAATATCACTGAACTGGTTACATTTTTCTGGGAAGCAAAGGAAGAGAGAGGGAGGAGAATACTGGAATGAGGGGGGAGGCTTATGGGGGGAGGGCAGGGGAGAGGGAGAGAGATTGGAACTTTAGAAGTCTCCCTTAGTCTTTTTCCTTTCAGGAAACACATCCTGTTCACATCTGACTGCTGTGGCAGTGGCTCTGTTTGTTGCAGCCAGCTACGCCCTGAGGCTCACCAAAAACAGCCACAAAAACAACCATTTCCTCTCCATTGAGAGATAGGAGGAAAAAACTTCCTTGCAGCAGAGGTTCTGCTATCCTGCTTCTACCTCACACAGCCCTGACATTCGCAGAAGAACAGGGGCAGCAGAACAGATTTCCTCAGAATACACCAGCTTTCCAGGGCTCCTTGGGGAATAAGTGTTGAATTTTTCCTCAGAATTTGTCTTGGTGTTAAGAATGAATTTCTACTGCGTCTGTGGGATGCTCTGAGTTTGGGGCAGCTGTGAAACGATTTAAGAGCTCTTGCTGCCTAACTCCTATGCAGATCTTAGTCTCCTCTCACAGCTGTGTTCCAGAAGGTTGAGGCACCCGGCACCGTTTGCAGGCATTTTAGCCTCCACTATCCAAGAAGGCAGCACTTCCTACATCAACATTTTGCAAGTTGGTTCCAGAAAGAATGCACCTCATCTTTCAGCTCTTCACCAGCTTGGCTCTGCTCAAAGTGCAGGAAGGTGGATAAGGCACCGCTTGGGAAGACAGAACTCTGGAAGCCTCGCTTCTGCTCGTTATATGGATTGCCCCTCTCTGCCTAGTTGCTCTTTGTGCAATCAGAAACCTCCCAGGAGCTGACTTTGAGAATGAATGGTGATGTTCTCTAGCCATTCATAACTTCATCCTGCGCCTGCCTCCCATCTGCAGCCCCAATTAAATGTACTGCAGCTGATCGGGACTCTTGGATCTTCTACAAAGAGAGGCTGCCAGCGGTTGATGACAGTCAGATATGACTGTCCAGAAGCTGGTGGCCACAGCTGTGTTGGTAGCTCTGGTCTCACTTATTCTCAACAACGCCGCTGCCTTTACCCCCAACTGGGTGTATCAGACCTTGGAGGATGGGCGAAAGCGCAGTGTGGGGCTGTGGAAGATGTGCTGGCTGGCAGAGAAGGGAAGAGGAGGTGCAGGCACAGGTGCCAGGCATGGGCAAGGGGCAGAGCGTGAATGTGAATCCTTGGGCTGGGGTTCGGAGCCAGCTGGGTTCCAGGAATCTCGTAGCACTGTCAAACGTAAGTCTTGATTTTCGTCATCACTGTCTATCTTGTGTTATGTAGAGAGCACCTCTCGAGTCAGGTGTCGGCACTTGACACATGGGAAGACCTGGCTTTGAAGCACTTGCCATCTCACGGCTCAACCAGAAAAGGGCTGCACACCTCAGAGAGGTTGTGGATTTCCAGCACCTCTTGAGTCTGAGCCCCAGTAAGTAAGAAAGAAACTAGAAGAGAGGGGAAAATAGAAAGCAAGTTTGGGTCATGACAAATGCACACCTGGTCTCTAGCAGGAGGTGCAAACTGGAAGTTTTTGAGACACCATAAAAGTCAAACTCAAGTCTGAAACCAGGCCAAAGTGTGCACTTTTGTGGACAGGCACAACTCCAATGGGATGAGAAGCTCTCATTTGTGTCTTTGCTGTTAAATGCTTCATCTAGACCTTGCTGGTATACAATGAAGAAATAGCATAGGTAAAATTATAGCACAGAGGCAAGGAAGAAATACAGACCTGCAGACCCCGCACTCAACCTTGAGTTAGAAATAAGGCCTCAGCAATGCCCAAAACAGGATTGAAGACTTCCTGCCAAAGTGGCATACATTTTCCCCTGTTGAGGAAGCTAAGAAGGATGGGAAAGCAATTTTAGGCAGAAGCCTGATGTAAGGGAAAGGGTTAAGCAGCCCCATCCTGTGCCCAGGTCTCATGTTGCAGATTACAGCCTCCCTAGTTGCACCTTATTTTATTTTATTTTTAAAAAAGTAAAGAGAAAAACTACACATGAGTTAGTGTCATGCGTGGTTTTACCCTTTGTTGTGTGATTTCCAGCTCACTAGGTGGCAATACTTTGCTAGGTGTGGAGAGGGACAGTAGGCATTTAGGGATGGTGGCAGGATGATATGCCCAATTAAAATGCAGCATACGAACCAGATACTGGGGCTGAGCCCCATGCTCCCAAATATTGAGGGAGCTGAAGCCCCCTCTGCCCCATATACTCAGCGCCACTGTGCCATTTGATGCTTTTCACTTGCGATGTCAAGGAAGGCACCTGGGATCTCCTGCATGAAAAGCATGTGTCTACAGCCTCTTTCAAATAGCCTTCTCCAAACTCAGAAGGGGGATTCAGAATGGCTTGAGAAAATGTACCTCTCAGAAGCCGCTCTCTAACTCAGCTTCCTTGAGGTGTATCCAGGCTGTCAGTATTTTGTGGGAGGGATCCAAGCGCATACCTGGAAATTTAGGTTTGTGCAACTGAAAGCGATTGTAGTGTTTTGTTGCCCTAGTGCAAACTGCCTTTTTGCTGTTCAGAAGATGACTTGAAAATACACTGAAAAGTGTGAGATGAAAGAATGATTAACAGGATGATGTGTAAACGCTCCACAAGCAAATGAGGATGAATGTTCATTTTCATATAACTCCCCGCAAAGAAATCAGAATGAATGTTCAGTAAAGATCAGATATTTCCAAACCTCCTTGTAAGCTTAGTACCAGCAAATCAGGATAAACCTGCAATAAACAGTTCATCTGGACACACCCTTATCTCAGGCAGGAGTGGGCAACTTTTGGTCCTCCAGTTGTTTCTGAACTACAGCTCTCATTCCCTGGTCACACTTGCTAGCACTGATGGGAGTTGTAGTTTGGCAACATCTGGAGGACCAAAAGTTCCCCACTCCTGCCTTATCTGACACAACACAATCAATTTGTCCATATTTAGCTCTTATCAGTTAAGTTCTTATTCAATTGCTGTCACATATTGGTACCCATACAAGTAGGTATTCATCTCAAAATGTAAAATGGGCTTAAAAGTGGGACAAAAACAAGCCATACACGTCCCCTTCCAAACTGAGCCAGTTATACCCACTCAGAAGTGTTATTGAGAAAGTGATGCCACTAAGAATTGTGTTCAGTGAATGGAAAGTAAGCAAATCCAGTGAAGCAGGCTATGAGAGAGGAACAAAATTTTGCATACTCTGCACACACACACCCCTTTCACAAATCTGCATCCTAAATAACTCAAATTCTGCTACAGGTAAATCTGAATGATGTGATCAGAATAAGTTATACAAATCTGCATGCATTTGCTTTTTGTGCACACTGCATTCTCTCAATCTCCCCGAGTACTAGAAATCTGGCCCAGTCCTTTCCACTCCTGGCTTTTGAAATTTGACCAGATGTTTCCCACAAATAAGCCATGAAGACTAGAAACTTAAGTTGGGACAGCAGCATGTGAAGGATGTTTGTCCCACCCTAGCGATGATACTGACAAAAATCCATCACACACCGCAATTAGTGATAGAAAGCTCTTGTTCTTAAGATGTTGAGTTCTGTGCCAAAAAAGCAATTGCTGGTGAGATGTGATTGTGGAATTAATTAAATCATGCAGCCCTGCAACTGACTCATGTTCCATTTCTGTTTTGTTCATGTAAATCTTACTAAATGGTTAAGACAAGATGGGGTGGTGGGGAGGGATAAAACATGCTTTGTTTCTAATGCTGACACAGTTTGCAGAAGAAGTGGCAGAGGAAAAATGCAAATGGTATGAGAGTCTACCAGCTCCAGAGCTTCCAGAGACTTGTTCTAGGATATCCTCTTTCCCCCTCTTGCCTCCTCTGAAGAGGTGCTACCCCAACATCTCAGCCTGCTTGTGACTGAGGAAACCACCCTCAGCAGATTCTCACAACAATTTTGCCTGTAGTTGGCTGCTTATTTATTTTTCCTGGCCCAGATTATATCTTAGTCCAAGATGAAGACATCATATGAGATGCTCACAGAGGGACACTCCCCTTAACACTTCATCAAGAGCCAATCAGCTAAATGCCATCAGTTTAGAAGTCCACAGTCCATGTCAGGAGTGGCTGTTGTTGCTCCTGATCACAGGGTCTTGTTAGAATACTGAGAAGTCTGCATTTTACTTTTCTAAGAAAGAAAATTTTCTAGCACTCATGCTGGTACCGGCAGATACATTACTGTAACATTTTTTTCAGATGTGGTTTCCAGTGTTGAACAAAGCTGTCCAACCCTGACCCAGGCCTTCCTTCAGAAAGATCTGCCTATTAATTCTGTTCTATCCTGTATCCCCTTTGTTTTTGTTTAAACCAATTCACAAACCAATAACTTACACACCAGTAATGCACCATATGTTGTAGATATTACTGCAAATTCATTATGCTATTTTTGTGATATACCAATGACATGAGAAGACTTTGCCTATTTATTTGTATCATTTAATATTCCTAATAAAGAACCTAACAAAAGGTTATTCCATAGCAGAAAGATCTGCGGTTGTACTGCTACAAAGATATGCTGTAACTCCTGTGTTAAACTGCTTCTGAAGTATAACACAGTAATTGTCTTGGGAGGCATCTGTGTCTTTGCCATACAACGTATCTGCAAACAGCCATCCAGCCAACTACACTGGTTGGTTTGTGCTCTTGGACTAAATAGGGAACAAAATGATTTTAAGAACATCTGAGGTACCCTGCTAGATCAGACGAAAGGGCTATATCTAGCCCAGCATCCTCTTTCTCAAAGTGGCAAACCTGATGCCGCTGGGAAGCCCACAAGAAGGATGTGAGGGTTATAACCCTTTCGTGCTGTTGTTTTTCCTGCAACCAGCATTTACTGGCAAGTGGCCTTGGAACGTGGGGCTCCATGCAGTTATCATAGCCAACAATTGTCGATAAATCTCCATGCATTTCACTGATCCCCTGTTATGGCCATCACCGTGTTTTGTGGCAGTGAATTCCATACACCAATGCTGTGCAGATGACCCTTCTTTTTGCATGTTCTGAATCCACAGCCAAGCAATTTCACTGGATAACTACAAGTTCTAGGTATGCATGATTTTCCAAACTTCTATCATAACCACCCGCTGCACTTTGAGTCACTTTTTTTGTAAATTACCGCATTTTTTGCTCTATAAGACTCACCTTTCCCCTCCTAAAATGTAAGGGGAAATGTGTGTGCGTCTTATGAAGCGAGTGCAGGCTGCGCAGCTATCCCAGAAGCCAGAACAGCAAGAGGGATTGCTGCCTTCACTGCGCAGCGATCCCTCTTGCTGTTCTGGCTTCTGAGATTCAGAATATTTTTTTTCTTGTTTTCCTCCTCCAAAAATTAGGTGCGTCTTGTGGTCTGCTGCGTCTTATAGAGTGAAAAATACGGTATATAGCCCCAAATGGAAGGAGAAGCTTGGGTCTCCAGAAGACTACAATTCCCATCAGACCCAACAAGACTGGACAACAGTCAGGGATGACTACAGTTGCAGTCCAATAGTATCTGGATGGCCACAGATTCCCTATTCTTCCTTTCCCCTTTCCTTATTTTAACTGCCTTTTTAATGGGACAGAATTTAATATACTGTGGCGGCTATCAATCTTGAGCACCTCAAATAAGCCAGGTCTGCTACTTAATGCACAAGCATGAAAAGGGAGGACCATAAGGTACATTTTTTGCCTCTGAAAACCAGAACAGCGTGGCACAAGAAAATCTGGCAGTGATACCACCCCAGCACTCTCAGAAGCCTCCTGTGTCAAAAAGCAGATGCTGCACAAAAAGTCCATATCAGTCTAAAAGCTTTGGCACACAGCCAATGTTCAATGGATTTACACACTGACACAGAGCAAGTGTTAACTAATACACCATGTTTCATATGATAGACAGAAACAGAACAGCTGACTTCTAACCTGATCTAGGTCCATTTCGTGCTAGAGCACTGGCAGAGGAAGAGGAGGGTGGGAGCGCACCGCTCCTGGCAGCGTGATCCCAGTGGGGTGCCATTGCGGCTGCTCGCCTACCCGCACTGGGCACCATGCCCCTGCAGGTGGCGTGCCACGCCCCCAGGACATACACCAGCCCCGTCACTGTGCTAGAGGAGAAGGGGGGGAAAACTATGCGAGAAGGTAGCCAAATTCTGCAAACTCCAAAAAAATGCAACCCAAATTAGTCTAAGGTGTTTGCACCTTTCAGTTCCACTGTGGAAGAGAATGACAAAGAAGTTTCTAATATAGCTGTACTACTGTTAAGA